CTTTTGTCAAGTGCCAGGCTTAATCTATAAGTGTATTATGTATAAACCCTTTTAAAAGAATGTTTAATGTTTACTTTTGAGAGAAAGAGAGACAGAGCTCGAGCAGGGGAGGGGCAGAGAGAGAGGGAGGCAGAATCTGAAGCAGGCTTGGGCTCAGCCCTCAGCACAGAGCCCAAGGTGGGGCTAGAACCCACAAACCGGGAGATCATGACCTAAGCTGAAGTCGGAGGCTTACCTGACAGCCACCCAGGCGCCCCTAAACCCTTTTAAATTATAAAAGCTTTTTTTTAAGTTTTGATTTTTTTATTTTGAGAGAGAGAGAGCATGAGTGAGCATGCGAGTGGGGGAAGAGCAGAGAGAGAATCCATAGCAAAGAATCCCCAGTACACCATTTTAAATTCTAACAACATTTTGGGATGCTTGGGTGGCTCAGTCAGTTAAGCATCCCACTCTTGATTTCAGCTCAGGTCATGACCTCACAGTTCCTGAGATCAAGCCCTGTATAGGGCTCTGCACTGACATCAAGAAGCCTGCTTGGGATTCTCTGCCTCTCTCTGCATCTCTCCTACTTGCATGCACTCTCTCTCTCTCTCTCAAAATAAATAAGCATCTAATTAAAAAATTATAAATAAGTTTTAACAACCTTTTGAGGTTGATTTTTATTTTTATTTTAAGTAATCGGTACACCCAATGTGGGGCTCAAACTCACAACCCAAAGATCAAGCTTTGCACACTCTACCAACTGAGCAAGCCAGGCTTCCCTTGAGGTTGATTCTTCATTCCCATTTCACAAAAAAGGAAACATTCAGAGAGGTTAAGCAACTTGCCCAGGGCCACAAGGTTAGGAAATGCACCGAGTGACCATGCCCAATCCTACTATTACTCAAGCATTCAACAAAGATTTACTACTTACCATTAGTCAAAATGCTTTAGATACCCCCTTTTAGGTTATTTCATAAAACCTGTAGTCCTCCGGATGGCACTTCATGAGCTGACATCTGCCTCCCTGTTGACCACCATGCTAAATCCTGAGCAGTCACCAGAAGACACTATGCTATCCTATACCTGTGTCTTTGCAAAAGGCATTCCCAGTGCCTATAAAGTCCTTCTCTTTGTCTTTTAAATACACCCCTACCATACCCTATTGCACTCAAGCCCTGGGTCTTCAGGAAGAAGGCCCAAGTCAGCCAGACAGAATAGGCATTCCTTCTCTTAGGCTTCCCTACAATTTGGACAAATCTCCATCAAGTCAATTATACTGTGTTTGCCTTACAGTTGTCTCCCAGCTGGATTGTGGACTCTCTCAAGGCAGAAGCTTTGACATTTTATCTTTGTATCTTCACAAGCTAACATGGTACTTAGCAGATCGCGAGCACTCATTAAAGGTGTTAAAGAAATGAAGGCAAACTAAGAACTAGATGTGGATTCACCAGCTGTCAGATCAGTGGGGAAACCATGTCATGTCCCCAGATAAGTGGAATGCAGTGTAGTGCTCTATGACATTAAAACGGGCATAAAGAGCTGCAGGGGTCCCAAGGATACAGAGATTTGTAGATGAGGAGAGTAGTGTATATATACACACTTTTGTCTTGACATGGTGAGTTCTCATTTAGATGGCTTTTAGAAACTGAGAGATCTGGTCTCCTATTACAGTAATGGGAAAACTGAAGCCAAGAAAGGAAGACACATGCCAAGACTCACCTAGCAACCTAGCAGAGGCAGAGCTGTGTCTATAATCTGGGTCTCTGAGTCTTTCCCCAAATCACACACACAGTAGTTCTGTTTCCACCTCCTGCAGTCTCTAGTCCACACTTCTTGAAATCATGGGTAGCAATATGCAAAATACCCTGAAGTCTCTCTTACAGAGAATGTTCTAGAGAGCCCACTTATTTGAGGAAGGAAGCACCTGTTTTCCCCCCAAGACAGTGGCAGTACTACATCAACAGTGAGCAGCTGAATTGGGACGAGGGTCCAGGACAAAGCAGAAATCTGCTGCAGAGAGCAGACAAGATGGGGGATGTACTGTAGCAGGGTCCGGGTGAGTGTCGCATATTACTGTCTTTACTCTTCCATTGCAAAGGGAGGAGCTGCCTTTTTTCTTTGGTTCTAGTTTATCAGTAATATCTAGTACCCCTGAGAACTAACTAATCATTTTGACCACTCACTTAACAGTTGCTTTTGTATTTATTATTATTCATTCACTGAGAGCCTACTATGTAAGAGGACCTTGCTTGTCACTCCAAATATATTATCCTCTCTCCCATTCTCGAAATGACTCTGTGAGGGAGGTGTTAGCCCATTTCACTGGTATGGAAATTGCAACTTGGTAAGGTCAGGTGACTTACTGTAAATCATACAGCTGGGATTCAAACCTAAGTCTTGTCTGAATCCAAAACCATGTTCTTTTCTATGCCCAAAGCTGCCCTTCAGAACTAAACTCTTTGAGGCGGAGACTATGATGACCTACCTCTATCTCTACACCCAGCACCTAGCCCAAGGCCAAGCACTCGGTAGGCTCACAAAGAACACTTGTGGAATAAGTGGATTTAGTATGGAGTGTCCGCTAAATGAAAGCCTGCGTGCAGTATGAACGATGTTGTGGGACAGCAGCAGAGGGAGCAGCTGGGCGTTTAGAAGTGGAGAAAGCCTCCCTCTGCAGAGGGGGACGCCAAATAAGTGGTCAGTAAGAAAAAAAAACACATCAATCCAGCATTCTAACGGCAAAGAATCCTAACAGGCAATTCACAAAAGAAATCCAAACAGCCATGAACAATGATAAGAGGTGTTCAGCATCACTAATAATCAGAAAAATGCAAACAATCTCATACACAGTGGATGAGAATACAAATTGGAAAAGCCTTTGAGGGAAGCTATCTGAAGTATCAAAATTATAAATTAGCTATGTCCTTAGGTGTATGTACAAAGATTGTGATAAGAAAAATGGAAACGGCATAAATATTCATTAATGAGGAATAAAATACTTTGTGGCTTTTGGCTCAGAGGAGGCCATCCCGATTCTGGGTTATCAGACACCAGCCACCTCTATCATGCCACCTAAGTTCAACCCCCACAAGATCAAAGTCATTTATATACCTGAGGTGCACCAGTGGGGAAGTTGATACCACATCTGCATTGGCTCCAAAAATCGGCCCCTGGGTCTATCTCCAAAAAAGACTGGTGATGACATCACCAAGGCAACCAGTGACTGCAAGGGTCTGAGGATTACAGTGAAACTGACCATTCAGAACGAACAGACCCAGATTGAAGTGGTATCTTCTGCCTCTGCCCTGATCATCAGAGCCCTCAAGAAACTGCCAAGAAACAGAAAGAAGCAGAAACACATTAAGCACAGTGAAAATATCACTTTTGATGAGATT